ATACACAGCAGCATGCATGAAATAAGGTGGATGGCAGACTATGTGGGAGTCCATATAGGGAAGGAGAGTCTATATTTGATTAGGACCCATTATATGAAATAGACGAAAACTCATTAAAATATTGAAAAAAAAAGAGGATACATAATTGGACAAGTGCAGACTTTCATTCCTAGGGAGTGCATCTCTGCAAACGCAGTGTCTACCCAAAATATAAAAGGATAGAAGGAGAGAGACTTCTCATTAGCAAACACAGACTTTGAAGCAAGCAATGTGCAGAAGGCTTAAATAAGGGATATATAGCCTCCTTGGGTTCTGGATACACGAATAATCTTCACTGTGAACTTCACTGGATTTGGAATCCCCTAGAAAACATTTTTGTGTCTGAGGACATCTCCAAAGCAGATTAACTAAGAAACAAATATATACTTTTTCAGACTTTTCATGGTCCCTTTATGTGCAGGGAACTGAGGGGAAATAGAAAGGGAAACATGAAAATACCAAACTGAGCACCAGCATGCAGTTCTCTCTGCTAAGAGAAAATCTTCTGTGACCAGCTACCACAATCCCTGCCTCTGAGCTCTCCTGCCTTAGTAAACGGTATCCTTCATAAATTGTCAGCCAAAATAAACCTATTTTCCTTAAATGGTTTTGTGGGGGGTATTTATCATATTAAGGGAAGTAACTGTAGCAATAGGCAAGCAGGCAGTAGAGAGAAACTCTTGCCGCACCTGTGTAAAGTCTATTACATGAACCCTATCATGTTTGTCAAAGAATTTCACAAGGAAGATTCTAGCTATCAGTGGTAGTTCCAAAAATATGTAAAGAGAGGTTTCCTGATTAAAGATGTGAATTCAGAATCTAAAGCAATCATTTTAAACTGTTTTTCCTGAAACTCTTGGATTTGATTTTCATTGCATATATGTTGACTAGGGATAATTAAGAATTTCTGAGCTTCAGACTGGGTAGAATTAGGTGGAATAGGGGTGGCAGGAACCTGCTACTCCTTCGGGGACCTGTAATGATATAACTGTTGACTGGCTGCTGCAGGACAGCAGACATGGCCAGGAACAGGACACCCTAATTTGTTTCAATAGGTTTACTGGACATTAGGACACTCGAGAGCCTCTCTAATCCCCATTGGACTGAATAGGCTTTTGCCATGTTATTGATTCTTTGTAAATTTTGTACTATTTATGATTTTAAAGAAAACTCACTTGTGATATATGACACATGACTTATAATCCTCATCCCCTGGATTTTCTTTGCTTTACTCCTTTTCATGATGACATTTGGCTATAAAGAGAAGTGACAAAGATGTCCTGCATTTACAAACACGTTCACTGTTTGTTCTTCATTCCTGTTGACAAACTCTGGTTCAGGCCTTTAGCAGATCATTTAGTTCTCTCAGGGACTCCTTACGAACAGTTGACTTAGTTCCATATTGCATATGACCTAATTTTGTTTTATCATGGTTAGGAAACTTGTCAAATGACCGAAGAGCTCTTGATGGTTCTGCTTTGAACTCAGTTAGTGCTTTTTTTTACCCGAAATTACATCAAATCATCCTCAAACTTTGTTCACCCAAAGAAAGCATCTTAGTCCTAAGAGAAGTCCTGAACCCTGCTACCTGATTCTCCTACACAAGTAGTAATTCACTGCCCAAGGCTGTGTAGCAAAATATTGAAAAAGCACACATATTTATCTAGTGTCAACTTACAGTGATTATTCCTTCAAGATTTATGATGAATAAATTCCAGGGAAAAGGAAAACACTGAGCTTCATTTAAGCTTAATAAAAGCTCTTTAAAGTGCACTAACCTGAAAATTCCAGTGAAGGCTTTGGTCTTCATTCCTGGGACCAAATCACTTTCTTCCATCCATGCCTGAAATTTTAGGAACTGGCATGAGCTAAGAAATAAGAATCTCTCCTGAGCCTTCTAGAGGACAGTACTTCATAGTGAATCACTCTATAGGGAATAAAAGACAGGCTAGGCAGAAATAATGATCATTTTCATGCTGGGATGGTGCACAGCCATGCTGGGACAACATGTAATACTGACTCTGCTCAACTTTATTGATCAGGGAGAAAGCCATGTCTTGTTCCACTCTTGCCCCTGGAGTTGAATGGTCGTATTTATTATAATTGATCATTGTATTAGTATTAATTTATTATAATGAACATACA